ATTAAATACAACTTGAATAAAAGATTGGTGAAATACCATTCAGTTCTGCATTACATTTGTGAGCAGTCTTAGGCTATGTCTTAGGATGTACTAAAAATGACCGAGTTAATTTGCATATTGTGAACAATACGTATATCATGGGACTGCAAAGGATGGAGGCTATGCGTTTCTCAGTCTGCGCGCCAGCTTGCTAGTCTTTGCAGCGGCCTTTTGTTCTCACTCACCCTGAAGTCTCCCCCGCCCCCCACCAGCCTCCATCTCACTTTGCAGCCACACCCACTGCTTTGCCTGGGGAATATCTGAAGTCACTCTGATCTCCGAGGGGAGGAAGCACCTCCACGCCCCGACTTCCCCGGTGCTTGTAGATTTTTCTGGCCGTTCCACGACTCTTTTATTTACTGCCACGGTTCCCTTTAGGCTTCTGTGGAAACGATGCTCTGGATTTTATCTGCAGCACCTAGTACTACCTCCTTAGTAAAGACCTAAAGAAAACAAAGAGTCGGTACCTAGAATCTTTATCAAAGTAATAGGGGTCGGAATTAGGAACACACACACACACACACACACACACACACACACACACACACACACACACACACACACACTTAACCTGTGAAGAGGTTAGAGGATTTGCTACCCTGACTATTTTAGGGCGGGGTGGGGGTGGGGGGTTAAACATTTGAGGTCAAAGCGAAAATAATCTCCTAGGACACATCTCACATCTCAGAGACTTGGGTAACAGATGTATATCTTGGGTCCGTGGTTAATTGGGGGGCCAGAATGGGACTCCATACTGATTCGAGCCAGAGGTTTAAGACACATAAAAGCTCGGTGCTAAGTGTCTAGGGCAAGGGCACAGCGTTGTCTGTTGCAAAACAAACGAACATAGACCTCTCAGAAATCCCAGCAGAAGTCTTCAGTCGAGGCTTTCTGGTTGTTAAGGTGATTCTCTCAAGGGCATCTGTGTGAGCTGGAGGTCACTGTGGCTTGCAGCACGGTGGGGGGGGGGAGCTGTTTCTAGAGAAGACTCGGCTTGCTGCTAGCCTTCTTAGCATCTTGTTGCTAGGCAACGGCTCCTCTGTAAAAGCTCATCTCTCTTTAAAGACGAGTGAGGTCTTGCTGAGGGAAATATAGTTTGTATAAAATTGAGCCATATGCAAACACCATCTAGTTACAGTCTTCCAAACTGCTTTCTCTTCCAAGGAAGACAGAGAATTTCTACTTAAAACCCATCACTTAGCAACCATGTACTATAACCTCCCCCCCATTCTCTGCAAAGCAATATACTTCCTTTTTAATCTTATTGATTTATTTTTACCTCCTCGCCCATATGCCTTTCCAAATTGATTTAATGAGATTCAGGAGGGCATTGTTTGTGATAGTATTTCCCTAGACTGCTGAATTAATTTCCATTTGAAAAATTACATAGGATTGCAGCTTATAGCCTCATCTGTGGCCCTTAGAGCATGTTACATAATGAAAATAAAAGATGCAATAGGGTGTCAACGTGAAAGAGCAGCGTGTGAGGAATGTGCATTTAAGACACAAGTTGTAGACAGCGTTTCCTCCTTGTATGTATTGAAAAATCTACACAGGACTCGCTAGACGTCAAAATCTCAAAAATCAATATAGACTAGTTATTGATTTCCAAACTGCAAATTATCCTTAGGCTGTGAGAGCTTTTCACATTAGCATTTTTACCATTTCCAATTGCTGGTCAGTGCAGAGTCAAATCTGCAATTTGCCTTGATTTTCTTGTCTTCTGACAGACTTTTTGGAAGCCAATGACCAAATTAATACAGATGCTTCCTCTTTCTGTCTTTTCTTCCTTCCTTCTTTCCTTCCCTCCTTCTTTCCAAGTTCTAAAAGGCTGGGATTATTAATAGCATATCTTGAAATTATTTTTCAAGAGGTTTTTGATTTTTGCCAATTATTTTCTGTTTTACATTGCAAAACCTTCTGCTCATTACAAGGCATTTTTTTTTAAATACCAAATTTAATTCTGCGAGCCTAACACGTGATTGACAGCCAACACGGATCTGATCCTCTCGTTAGAAATCTTCCAAGTTTCGAACTCTTGCACAAGTTTAGTGGTGTTTAAAGGGCATTCCTCCTGAAAAGAATCTTAAGGGCGTGTGATACAAGCCCTCATAGTGCCAGGAGGTGCTAGGCAGGCTGCTGAGAGAAACTGTCATCAATAGTCTTACTCAATGCATAGATACTGCCTGGCCAGGCAGGATGTGGTCACTTTTGCAACAATGCTTGATGTGCTATGAGGGTAACCAGATGCTTTGGAGTTGGGTTTTGAGGCTGGCATTACAGTAGAGAATTCACATCTTATTGTGTGAACCTCCTCAACAGCCCGCGGCTGGGGAGATCATATAAACCCTAATGGGGAAGCTACTTGTATTGTTTAACTAAAAGGATGAGCTGTGCTGGTCAAATTGCATTCTAGATGGCTATGTTTATAGCTATAGACCAATGTGTGGCCAGCTTTGGTCAGAGAACTTCTTTTTGCTGTGGCCAGCAGTAACTGCAGAAACTCTGGCCAAAGTGCTGAGAATCAGTGACTTGAATGCTCAGGCACAGCAGGGACATTTGCATCACCCTCTCCAAGGCTTCTGGAATTTGTGGAAGGAGGAGGAGAGTAGCTGTCATAGGAAGGGAAGGGGGAGCATAGAATGATGCCTTCAGGGCTTGCTGTGGCTGTTGCCATCTTGGTCCCAGAGAACAGGATTGTGCACCTCAGCCTCTTGTCATTGTGTGTTAGGCACTCCCAGAGCCCCGCTACTTACTCCTTGAGGATTTCTGTGTAGCTATTGGCTGATGGAAGAAAGAGAGACATTTTCCTCAGTATTGCAGCCACTGGCAAGTTTTCCATGGTCCTGTAAACAGGCCCTTATGTGTGCTCCTGTAATTGGCCCTAATGAAAATCATGGGACATTTAAAAGAATGAATATGGAAGAGGAGATAACTGGGAAGAGGAAATCAGGAGTGGGAGGGGGACAAGAAGGGTAATGACACCGGTACAGTCAATACACATAACATACCTGCATGTGGATGTCACAATGAAACACACTATGTATAATTGATATTTGCTAATAAAAGCTTTTTAAATAAAGGATTTCCTGAGCCATTTAATTTTTTGTTTTCTTTTTTTTTAGTTTTCATACATTGCTTTCTTTCTCTATTAAGCTATTTGGGTAGCAACAGAACTCTAACTGGAGTCACTTTAAGCAAAACTGGGTTTGTCCAGAGTGCTGGCATAACATAACCAAGTCCAGAGAGTCACTAGATGTTCTTATTTATCCACGAGGGTCTGCCTTCTAAAACTGTCATTTTTATGGGTTGTTCTGACTTGAACCCAGGTTCTTGTGAATGTTCAGTACATGCTTCATCCGACCAACCTCCTCAGCCCCAGAAGCTATCTTTGCTGCAGTCTTAGGAGTCTCCTGGATTATATCTTTTTAATTTAAGTAGAGGAAAAGGCCTCCCATCTGCCCTGCTGCTGCTCTAGGAAAGGAATGGGAAGGTTACCTGGAACCACTTACCTACTGGAATAGCAAATTGCAGGGGCATGAGAGCAGGAGAATGAAAAACAAAATGAGAACTGTGAATGTTAGAGAGAAAAGAGTGTAGGAAAAAGAACAAGTGTGTCACTGAATGAAAGGAGGGAAGTGGTAAATAGAATGAAAGAGAACCCATCGCTTGACAAGAGCTTTGACAAAAACAAAAAGAAAAAAAAAAAAGAATGACAACTGAGGATCTCCTGGCTGAACAGAAGACATCTACCTTCCGTGGCAACCACGGATCACTACACGGATTCTTCAGTACAGGCTGTATCTGCTTCTCGAAGGTCATAGAGAAGGGTGAACCAGCTTCCCTGTGAATCTGAAGATGTGATAAAGTGTACATAGTGGCACGTGGGACTGCATTTGCACGAAAGTGTGTCTAGTGACACGATTATTAAATAACATGCTGCATCAACTAACGGGTCCTGGGCTGTGGTGCATCATGGGATGCTGGAAAGACAATGGGGTCAGTTAAGGGATAGATGCTGAGATCTGCTGGGAGATACTGGAAAAGACACACAGGAGGGGTGTCATAAAAGGATTCTGGGCTTTGACAATCAGTTTCAATATATGCTGTATGTGAAAAGGCATCTTGAGAAACTTTAAATCAAAGATGAAAATCGAGCTAAGCTCTTGTGTTGCTTAGGAAACACCATTGTGGGTCAAGAATTAAGCTGAAAACGAGAAATGTTCTGGAACTTCTGGGATCCATCTGCATGTCGTGTATTTCTGCGATCACCATGAGCCTAGTCTAAACCCTTGAAGAATTATGAACATGATGCTCTTGCTGTTTTCAAGACACTCAAAAGTACTCTGAGAAACTAGTGCTTGCACAGAAGGTACAGTGGCTCCAGCAAGTTGTTTGCAGCACAAAGGCCCTGGCCAGAACGTCCCATCTGTGTGGCATGAATTGGCAGAGGAGTCTATTGTGTGCTCTGACTACAACCCATTTGTTGAGGTTAACTGTGAGACTCTAGCCTACAAATCTTAATTAGCAGGGGCACACATGAGTCTCACCAGAGTAGTCCTCATTCTGAGCGGTCTTTGTTTTGACAGGTTTTGGGTGGAATAAGCTGGGAAGTGCTTGATTCCTTAAAATTCTTTTTACCAATTCCATGTCGTGTACTTCTTAGCAACTAGGGAATTTTTCTGGAAACAACAAGTTATTTCATTTGGGCGAATTATGTTTTCAAATGTTAACTTTATTACTACCCAGGTGTGACGAAGACCCTAGATTGGCTGCTAGTTGACATTAAAATGACTGTTAATTACTCAGGGTCCCCACAAGGAGAGGGTGTCGGGACTAACAAGGAAGCAGAGTGTGGGGGACATGAAGGAAGTCACTTTCTTTGTTCTCTGTATGGGAAAGAACAGGTAAGGCAGGGCAAGCAGGTTTAGAGAACAGCAGTGTGTGCACTTTCCCTTAGACCTGAAGTGCCAAAGACAAATCTAGTTACGGGTGTCTGGTGCTCTGTGACAAGTGGAAAAGTACCGAAGGCTGAAAACCCACCTAAGGGAGAAGAAGCTGGCTGTGGGACTGCTAACTGAAACTGGTGAGTCAACTGCTCTTCTGGTGTTAGCAAGACCTCAGATGTTCAATTATTGGAAATTCAGAAAATTAAAAAGCCATGATTAATCTGAAATTCATTACTCTTGTACCCTTGCCAACATTTTTTGTTCAGTATGTATGCACAGAGCAGAAATTAGTTCACAAACTAAAGACAAAAAATAAACTACAGACACATCTAGATAACAGGAATTGAAAACGTGTGTTGGACTGGGAATGTTTGTTAAGTTTTGATGAGAATTCTACCAACTATAAACTATCTTCTCTTTTATTGTCTAGTAGGGAAACTACTCCTGATTTGCTGATAAAATGAACCACTTAAGAACAAAACATTATGCCTGACGCTCGATAGTGTATCAGCTGTTTCATGACATGAATAATATATATTCTGCCAAAACCACAATGTATAATTCAAAATAGCGACATACAATTCAAAAACACGTTGAACACAGGTTGTCATTTTCCAGGTAGTTCTCTTCTCTCTAGGATGTTTTTCCAAGGTGAGTTTAGAGTGGGCTTTTATTTCCCAAGCAGCTGGGTAGCAAGCTGCTGGTCATACAGGATGAGGAAGTTTGTCTGAAAGTTACAAGCGTACATCAGTCTTCCATTTCATCTCCACAGACTTTAAAATCATCTTTAAAAAACTTTCTTTATATTCATTCTTTGTGTCTTTTACATCCTGCATCCCGATTCCACCCATCTGCCTCCTACTAAGAATACAATGAAATAAAATTTAAAAGGAAAAAAAAGGGGGGGTAAAGGGGAGCATCTCTTCATGGAAGCTGCAGTGTGACAGTGAGTCACACAATAAATCCCTTTGTCTGTATATTTGTATATGCAGGCTTTCATAGGTCTGGTTCAAGGCCTCTGGTCTCTCTGCTATACCATTGAAGCTGGGTCCTCACTGGGACTCTCCTGAACATTCTGTGTCATGGAGATCCGCTGTGCTGCCCAGGAGACCTGAAGGGGCTACTCTCTTGAGTGAGGAACCTGATGAGGGGCAGGGACAGCTCTCCTGATCTTAAAACCTCAGGAACAGCTGTCTCTTCTGTCCCAGGAATTGATGTGGGGTGGGGAATCTCTCCCCTGCCTAGGCTCCCACATGACAGATAGTGATGGGGACAGCTCTCCCATGCTCACAGCTTCAGGGATGTCTTGACCCCACATTTACCAACAGGGTCAGCTCTATTGTACTGGCCAGGGGAGGTGCAAGCCCTGCTTTCCTAAGTGTTAAAACAGATTTTTTAAAAAGGCAAATGGAAGACGTAATTTTTTACACAGATTTAACAGTATATATTCACAATTAAAGTAAATGGCTGCATTAATGTAATGAGAGCTGCTTACATTGTCTCACTCTTTCTCATTAATTCCTAGTTTACATAAACTATCTCTCATCAATAACTTTACTTTTCATCTTGGCGCTACTTGTGTCTTTCAGTTTTTCTAAATAAAACATCAGGAGACTTATCAACTAGACATATAGTCAGGGAAGTGCTGGAAACAATTAGGTTTTTGAACTAAAAGCTCAAGACAGCCACAACATCTATGCTTCTTAAAATTCATTTATTCAGTCTCTTAGGTTGCTTAGTGTCATACTATACACATAAAATGCATCAGTTTTCTAAAGTGTAGCTGGAAAAATGCAGAACTTAGGATGTTCACAATAATTTCCCTTACAAAAGACCTTCAGTAAATAAATATCTTACACAAGAAATTTGACTTTTTATTTTGCTTATTCATATGAAAGATCACAGCTCTGATGATCATAATGCATTTTTGCCTTTCTGGTATTCCTTTTCTCTTTTTCCCTTATAAAAACCAATTCAATAAGAGAAAAGATAAAGTCTTTTTTTTCTCACGGATTTATGCCATGTTATTGGATGTGGTCCTGGCAGAGCATTTAATTGAAGTTTAATGTTCATGAAGCTGAAAGTGGGAGACAATGTTATCCCTTGTCCTTGTGTGGAGATCTCACATGTGGGTGGATTGGGGGAATATGGGTCTGTAGATGGTGCACCTTGCCATTCAAAGTTAATATGTCTGCCGAGTATGATTCTTAGGAGGAGTTTCCATTAAAGGATCATTACAAATACAGTGCTGCAGAGGCAGGTAAATTCCAAGAAAGTACAACATTTTGGAGGTATTACTTAGAATGAATTAAAGAGATTGTCAAGTAAAGAACAGTAGCTTATACCACCGAACCTCCAATTATGACAACCTAGGAGTAGATTTGCTTTTTAATCTAAATACATAACACTGCTGATGCAAATGATTGATTTGCCATGGCAGCAGTGGGAACATCGAGCCAGCATCTCCTCCTCATGCAAATATAGGTTGCAGCAGTCTGCATTGGATGACTTTGCTCATAGTGCTTTGGTATTGTTTGATCAAACTTGATCACGACGGGGAAAATATGCTTGAGTACAGAGGGTGTTTCCATTTGACTGTCCTATGAAAACACCAGCGGGACCAAATGTTGTTGCTAAGATCTTAGATAACCCAATTACATCTGAGGTGACTCAGCAGAGGTGCCAAAACCCAACACAGATCTGAACTGGATGACAGTGTTCCTGCACAGCCCTCAAAGTGCTGTGTGGATGTTTGGAGCTATTTAGGCTGATATGTAAATCGTCTCACCCAGCGCATTCAGAGTCACTGTGCGCCAACACCAGAGATCAAAAGCAATGCGACTTGTTATTCTATTGAACTTCAAAGACGTCAGAAATCATGAAGTGAAGTGAAAAGTATTTTATATTCAATTTCAGGTGCACTCCAACAATGCCAGCCATGTAGCCTTGGTGGAGCTAGTGAATTCTTGCTTAAAAGGTCTCCAACCAGTTTTCACTGCAGCCTCTGCCAGCTCCTCTGTTCATGTGAACAGACAAAGAAAGGGGAATTGTCAAAATACAAGCCCGACATTTAACCCAGCGCTAAAATCTGAGAGGAATTATCATCACCTCAAAGAACCATGGGAAAAGCCTCTAAGTATAGGGAATAGACTCCTCACCTTATGCTATTTTATGTGCTTGAAAGGAGAAGAAAAATGGTTTTCTTCTATGTCATGTCTCCCTGTCACCCTGGCCCTGCAGACATGCACAATCCTGAGAGGCTGAACTAACAGACATGTGGGGCAAACAGGGGTGTTGTTTTGACATCTTTTCCTTAGCACCTCCTTTGAAGTGGGTGTATGTACACACACACACACACACACACACACACACACACACACACAAGAGAGGGAGAGAGAGAGAGGGAGGAGAGAGAGTACAAAAGTTGTAGCGTTTGGAAGGATACCAGGTAGAAGGAAGAGAAAAGAGGTAATCACACACACACACACACACACACACACACACACACACACACACACACACACACACAGGGAGAGAGGGAGGGAGGGGGAGAGAGGGAGGGAGGGAGGGAGGGAGAGGGCGAGAGAGGACAGAAGAGAAGAGGGAGACAGGAAAAATCCTGTCTGCCCCAAGGAGTACCAGGAAAGAGCAAAAGTGGTCAGGTTGTGCCTGCATGCAGGCTAAGAACCCTGGGCTGACCAGGGTACTGCCTGAGTGCATTCTGCCAAGTGACAGGGGCAGGCCAGCATAATGCCTGAATCCTTACAATGATGAAACCTGGAAACTCTGCCACTCACAGGTCAAGAGCATAGAGATTCCCAGAGTTGAGGGTATGGGTTTTTCTGTGGCTTCCATTGTTGCGGACTCCAGCATAAGCAAATGGCCTGGAGAGCCAGAGAGACATGGCAGTAGGAGGTCCCATTTCAGTGCAGAGAAGCCCTGTGGGTCAGCTGTTATTTCTCTAGGGCATGGTTGAGAACGTGCTTGTCAGCCACAGCACTGTAGATCATTCACCCGAGAGACTGAAGGGGACAACGGGTAAAGCCCATTTGTTTATTTATTAAATGCCTATGTCAACAAGAGTTCACAGCCTGGACAGGAATTCATCACGGTGACTATGAAAAATTGAGGGGAGGTAGTCCCAAGAATACTATTTTACAAAGTAAATGATGTCATCTGAAATAATGTCCAAGGACTGGAGTTTAGAGGGGAGAGGGAGCAGGAGGATCGAGCTGCTGAATTGACAGAAGGGTAGAATAGAAAAGGCGATTCATAGAATAAAGGGGGATTACAGGGAAGAAAAATTTCATTATCTAGATCTGAATCCACATGGAATAGTGTAAAAGCAAGATTTAATACTACTAGACTAGAGTGTGTAAGATGAATAATGAGTAGCTTTCTTAGACTGCCAAGCAAAAGGCACAGCAAAAAAAAAAAAATAGGTGCAGAGGGAGATCATAGATATGAGATGTCGAAAAGAGAAAGTCAATCTCAAAACTGTACACTCAGAGAAAGACACAAGAATATTTCTTAGAGTCCTAACTCCAGATTTGCTTGATGTGGGATACATCTCAATTAGGGAAGCTTGAGAAACTCCTAAATAAACACAGGACATGCTACTGTTTGCCCACCAGAAGAAGGTGGTAAAACTTCCTTGCTAAGGAAACTGCCCATCTTAGGTACGGGACATACAGAAATCAAGCCGGGAACAGAGCCAAAAGCTTTCATAGCATCAGAAGGTCCTATTCCGGCTGCTTGCGGAGAAGCATCATCCTTGGCTTTCCCCAGCTGAGAACCCTGTGAGTCACAGCATCAATCGGACAGGCTGCTTTACAATTGGATTTAAGGTCTGTTCCACAGGAGAAATCCACGTCTGGTCTGAGAGGTTAGGAAGGTCACAGACCCTCCAGGGGAACCTAATACTGTTGCTTTGCTCTGCCAAAGGTACATGGCATCAAATTACCTTCTAAATATGTCTGTTAATGCCCGAGGGTTAGTGCTGCTCTCAGCCTTGGTCAGAGAAGGACCTTTTTTCCATCGGGCAGTGATTAATGCAGAGATTCATAACTGGTCGAAATGCTTAGGATGAGTAACTGCTCAGTGTTCAGCATGAAATGGAACATCTTATGTCTACCTCTTTCAAGGCTCAGGGAACAAGAAAGAGTGGATAGAAAGAACGTAAGAGCCGGAAGGTGGAAGGAATGCTGAGAGATGCTGTCTTTGGGGACGTACTGTGGTTATGCTACCCATGAAATCATTGCAGTCATGGTGACCTGCACCAGATGGGGCTGATCAACTCTCCATCATGGATAAGGAGGTGGTTCGTATGTCTTCATCACTCTCTGAGAAGTTGTAGGCAGTTAGTTGTTGTTTATAGACTGAAAGTCATATTCCTAAATGGTGGATCTCCTGGGAAGTTGTCCTGGCTCAAAGAAATATACCCCACCACCCATGTAAATGCAGACAAACCCTAGCTGAATGCAGTGGGCTAAACTTACTGTTTCTATGGCATTGGCAGCATCTGGTGGCATCTCATTTAGAAGGACTACCTTAGTAACACAGGTTCCGAAGCAGTCTTTCATTGTTAAATCTGTTTGCTGAGAATTTGTTTCCACAAGAAAGATGCCTCATTGGTCTGTGCTTTAGTTTATCGAGATGTAAAGAGACAGAAATGGTAGTACCCGTTTCATAGGATAAAGATTCACAAAGAAAATACACATAGGTATCAGTTACTGTCCTTTCCAGACTCTAAAATGGCACCGTACATTTCACGTCATTAATATGTGTAAATCATAGCAAAGACTAAGACAGCAGAAACTTCTCTAGTGGAGACAGCATAGAGTAACTGTTTAAGAATACAGACTAGACAGGGTGAATTCTATCTCTTTCCCCTTTCATATAGTGTGAATTTGGAGAAGTTATGGAATCTCTTTTACTTTATAAAATGGAAAAAACACACAATATTTAATGTACAAGTAGGAAGATCCCCTGTCCTGGCTTATCCTGCACATTTAAAGTTTTCATGCTGAAAGTCCTGTGCCTCAACAGCTCTGCAGCCAGAGACTTGCTTACAGGTTATCCCACAGCAGAGGTCAAAGAGCTCACAAGTGCCTGACACATGACCTGAAGATGTGTGCTCTGATAAATGTATTGCTTATGTTTTAGTGATAAGCTTTCAAAACAGTATATAAACCAACAAGACAGTTCAGGTTTGATGATCAAGTTTCAAGTATCAAAGAACTACTGATGGTTCTGGACCACTTTCTTGGGCACAGGGGTTAGGGGTGGGGGGAGTAGCGGATTGAGAGTCATATAGGCGTAAGTGGAAGGAGAATTGAGAGAGGATTCTGCTCTAATTCTTCTCCTTGACCTAAATGATGATTATTTTTCATCTTTCTTGTTTCACATACTCACTCAGCATTTTCAAATCCAGGAATTCTTGTGTGAGGTCAGATGGTGGCATAAAAATATGTTATTTTATCTCCAGTTTTAGGTCAGTGGTTCTTAACCTGTGGGTTGCAACCCTTTTTGGGGATCAGCAAAGACAACCAGAACACGCAGATATTTACATTAAGATTCATCACAGTAGCCAAACTATTGTTATGAAGTACCAACAAAAATAATTTTATGGGCTGTGCGGTGGTGGTGCACACCTTTAATCCCAGCACTCGGGAGGCAGAGGCAGGCGGAACTCTTGAGTTCAAGACCAAGCCCGGTCTACCGAGCGAGTTCCAGGACAGGCTCCAAAACAATACAGAGAAATCCCGTCTTGAAAAACCAAAAAATAAAATTATGGTTGGGGGTCACCACAACATGAGAAACTGTATTGAGGGGGTTGCAGCATTAGGAAGGTTGAGAATAACTGTTTTAGATTATCACCTACAGTGATAAGAAACTTAATCTGGGGGGCTTTGTTCATTTCCTTTTCTACGAGTAATGTGGAAATAAGGCACAGTGGTGGGAAACCTGTAGTTTAAGTCATTCTATTGCTCACTTATTTTTTTAAGTAGTTCAAACTTAGATATGTTCATAAGTTACCCTGAGCTTGAGAGCTACCTTGAACTTCTAATCACTCTTTATTATACAATAATATTTACCCAAGTGATTGTTAAAAACAATGGAAAACAAATGGCAACTAAACTTAGTGCTTTTAGATATTTGTGTTGTTATCTATGTCTTACATGGCTGTGACTAGGTCATGAGAGGTATTTGTTGAGGGGTCTTAATGGGCTCCAGAAACTTTCCCATCTCTTCCTGAGTTATTGCTAAATATTAGGCATCAAAAGTTTGATTTATGAACTTATGACTGATTATGCAAGTAATAATAATTTAACTAAGAAAAGAAATTAATGAAGTCTTATATTTGAATGCTTAATCCAGATTTGAATATGAAAAGAAAATAGACTTTTTACTTGAAAAAATACCTTATTTCCTCTAATTATATCCATTTAAAGATAACAGGAAAAATAACTCAAGGTAGATGGTATTTCCTACATATTTGTGTACTTATAGTATGTTCTGTAGCAATATAAAATTTGGTTTATGATTATTTTGGTTTATTTTAGATGAAAAGTACAGGAGGCAGACAATCTGTCTTTGGGTGGCAAGTTCCATCTGGAATGCCAACGCTAATTGATTATTAGTGGCTATGGGGATGTGTTTTACCAAGGAGAGCTGAGAGCCATGCAGCAGTTCTCCAGGAAGGATCAACTGCAGATGTCAGTAAGAGCCATGGAAAGTGTGGGTGCCTCTAAACGCCCTAACCTCTCATTAACAGTAGGCTCCACAAAAGAGAGAGGCACAGTCATTATTTCCATAGACTGTCTGGAGTTTCAGGCAGCACTCAAGAAAAAAAAAACAGCACACACACACACACACACACACACACACACACACACACACACACACACACACACTCTCTCTCTCTCTCTCTCTCTCTCTCTCTCTCTCTCTCTCATACACACACTCACAGCTAATACAGGTTCCAGCCTAGAAGAAACAAATTCTGTTGGAATTTTGCAAAACATGGTAGAACCCTGATCTATAAGCTCACAGATGTCATTCTTGGGGATGTGCTTTGCCTGGGCATCCTGTTAGCATCATGCCATTTGGGTGTTTGTTGAGAGTGGAATGATGGTGTTAGGGAAAGTCAATTTTGACAATAAGAAATCTTACAAAATATCATAATTATGTATAAGAGAATATGAAAATATTAAAAGTTCATGTTTGCCACTATATTAGGGACAAGTTATATTTGGATCATGCTACAAAAAATAGTATTTGGAACATACAACTATAGGCAAGAGGTAACATTCAACTCAATTTCAACATTTATTAAGTAGATGGGCTGAGGACACAGCTGGTCTAGCATGCACAAGGCAGGGTTATACCCCAGCTCTGAGACAGACAAGCAAACAAAAATAGACAACAAAAAACCAAATAGACAAGAAGTCTAAAGAAAAGAAGTGAAGTTCAAGGTTTGAGAGTATGTGCACATTAGCTCTGTGTGCAGAATTAGGGTTTGCTCTTTCTACAAGGCTACTTGAGTTCTGTGACTGATCAGGTTCTGTCTCTTAGAGGCCTGCTAAGATCAAGTAGGAGGTATTTGTTTTCTCTTGCCTTTTGGTGGAGAACTTTTCTAAAACTGTTTTGGATAGATAGTTTCCTATTGACTTTAAAGAGTCCTACAACATCCTGTTGTTGCTGTTGCTTATATTTTAAAAAAATAATTCTTTTCCTCCCTTGCTTCTGTTTTGTTGAGTCCCTCTCTTGAAGTTCTGTATTTGTTTCTATGACATCAGAGCTGAGAAAAACAAGGCAAGCCAGGGAAGCTCTGCTTGGGTTCATGGCTTCAGATCTTTCTGCTTGCTCGCTCACTGGCTCCTTGGCAAGATCCATTGTCTACAAGACTGTGGGAAGGTAGGAGCTTCCTGGTAGAAAAGTGTGGTCATGGAAGCTGCTGCATTCATGGAAGCCAGGAAGCAGAGAGAAGGAGTGACTGAAAATAAGGGAAGTCCTTCAACAGTAGACCCCCATGACCTAATTCATCTAACCAAACCCACTTCCTAGATTCAACACATAATAGTGCCATTCATTTGTGAGTTCATCAATTAATTTTGTCAGGAAATTCATGAGCCAAGAATTTCCATTAAACATTACATTTGGGAACCAAACCCTTAGCACATAAATTTGTTTTTTCCAATGGGGAATATCACTTTATATGCAAACTATGACAATTTTATCTATAGAGTCAAACCATTATTCTCCTTCATATATTACATCATCTTTTTACATGTAAACAGTTTCAGCATAGTCATATTTTGAATGAGGAAGATCCTTAATAAGTTAAAATGACCTCTTTGTACTATGTAATTTAGTATTCATTTTGTTCCTTTGTTTTTTTACAGTCCTGTGACTCACTGGGGATGAGACTGCACATAATTACACACATAATGTCAATCAGTTTTTGGAGTGTTTAAAATATCATAATTGTAGTCAGAAAGTGGTAAGTCTTTGTCTTCATAAAGCATTTTGAATTCTGGCAGTATGGATATGGGCAGTGAAGAGTGAACTGGAGAGTAAAAAATGAATGAATGAATGCTATAAAAGTTATACAAGTTTTATAAATAATATGGACAAAGTACTATTGAAATGTGGGACTACCTCATGGATAAAGCGAGCTTTGGGGTTCCCAAGGGAGTCAGGATAGGGCTGAGAAAAAGCACAAGGAAAACTATGAGCTTTGCTCTATGTCCCTTGTCATGGGTCAGTGACATGGCCACCTATGACCGGATAGGTTTGAAACATAGGGTGTATAGAATGGGGGACAAGAGAATAATTTTTAAAAAAGTATGCTGTATATTAGTCTGTATACTTAAGACAAGCAGAGTCAGCATCCGGGTTCTTTTAATGTAAAAGTGGTCTGACAGTATCTGCATTCTTGGTGGTAACATTAGTGGCAGCACACAGGACAGCCTGGAGAGCCTGCAGGGAACTGAGGTTGGGAGAGAGACTCAAGAAGTTAGGAGGCTTCATGGTCACTGATGTTTTCTTCATTCAGTCTTTTTGTTCTGTTACTGGCTCTCTTATACGTGATCCCAATTCGCTTTTTCCTACTTTTATTTTAAAATGACCTCCCTACATAATATTTTCTGATTACAGTCCCCCTTCTCCCATTTCCCATCCCATCAAGATCCACCTCCTTTCTGTCTCTCACTAGGATACAAACAGGTTTCTAAGGCCTAATACTACAATAGAATGAGATAATATAAAATCTAACACATCAGAGTCATAAAAACAAAGAGAAGGAAAGGAGCCCAAAAGAAGGCATAAGAAACAGAGACCCACTTGTTCACACACTCAGGAATCAAATAAAAACAATAAACTGGGAGCCATAATATATATGCAAAGGACTTAATAAGGTAAAAAGAGAGAACAAAAAATATACATAAATAAAATAAAAATAGTAAGATAAAATTAAAAAGAAGGAAGAGCCCTGGCACAGCACTATGAGATAAGGAACCTCCAAAGATGCTGTTGAGTTTGTTTTCTTAAGCCCATTTACTGCAGTCTACCTGAAAAGAGTACTTTGCTTCTCAGGGAAATTCCCTTGGAGGAAACCAAATTTTCATTTTCAAGTTGCTATAAATTAGAGATAGCTTCTGGACTAGGGAAAGGGCTGTGTCCACTCCTCCTTTCAGCTCAAGCACCCCAACTGGTACAGACCCATGGAGGGCCTATACATGATGCCTCAGTCTCTGTGAGTTGATATCTGAATTGATCCTGTTGATTTAGGAGGCTTTGTTTTCTTGGTGTCCACCATCCTCTCTGACTCTTAGATTCTTTCTCCCCTGACCTCTGAGGGGAGGGATTTGATGGAGACATTGCATGTTCTAAGGTTCTTACTCTCTGCATAACGTCTGGCTGTGCCTTTTTGTATTTGTTCCCATCTGCTGCAGGAGGAAACTTCTCTGATGATGGATGGTAACTTCACAGGTCTATGAGTGTAGTAGAATATCTTTAGGAGTCATTTACTTGCTAGTTTTCTCTTTTAGAACGGTGAATTTGGTTTTATCCTAGGTCCCTCAGTTATCTAATCTCAGGGTCTTGGTCACCCAAACAGTGTCAGGCATGGGCTCCATCTTGTGGAATGGACCTTATGTGAAATCATATTTTGGTTGGTTGCTTCCACAAAACGTGTGGCAACATTGCACTCGCATGCCTTGCAGGCAGGGTACCAATGTAGATCAAAAGGCTTGTAGCTGGGTTGGTGTTTCCAATTCTCTGTAGCCTGCAGAATACCTTCCTGTAACAAGGATGCCAGCACATGGGTGTGAAGGCTCTGCGTAGGCACCAGTTTTATTTCTCCATGTTCAGTGTCTTGTGTAGGTGTTGTGTTCAGCAAGGGGGCCTTGCTGTCAGTTTGTGGAGAGCAACCTATTGTCTTGACAATGGTCTGGGTTGTTTGGGAGTTCCCATGGGACCCTTTTGGCCAACAATTCAATTAGATGTAACCCATTCTCAGTAAAGAAAGCTTCATGTGGTGACACAAAATGTCTAGTTTGAGCTGTCTCTCTATTTAGAGATCTCTTCTAGACTTACTTCATATCTGTATATATCTTTAGAAAGCTTCTACTGTATTATGTTTCCATATCCATCAAATGGCCCTTAATTCCAGCTCTCTCCCTGAATTCCCTCCCTCATTCTCCTATTCCCTTCTCTTCTCCATTTGATCTTCCCAGTCCAGTCTCCTTCTTTGCCATTCATAATTATCTATTTTATTTTCCTTTCCTAGGAAAATCTATTTGTTCCCCTACTTGTTCTTTATATTTAACCTCTATATCTTTTTTTTTTGTTTTTTACAAGACAGGGTTTCTCTGTATTGTTTTGGAGGCTGTCGGAACAGCCCAGCCTCGAACTCACAGAGATCCGCCTGCCTCTGCCTCCCGAGTGCTGGGATTAAAAACCTCTATATCTTTGACTTAACAATTAATATCCACATATAAGCAAATACATGTCATATTTGTATTTCTAGGTCTAGGTTAGCTCACTGATGATGATTTTTTTCCCTAGTTCCATCCATTTACCTGCAAATTTTACTTTTTAATGGATGAGTAATATTCCATTGTGTAAATGTGCCACATTTTTTTATCCATTCTTCTGTTGGGAGGCATTTAGGTTCTTCCTAGTTTCTGACTATTATGAATAGAGCATCAATAAACATGGTTGATCAAGTGTGTCTGTGGTAGGATGAAGTAACCATATATGCTCAAGAGTGGTATAGTTGAATCTTGAGGTAGATCGATTCCCAATTTTCAGAGGGACATCCAAATTGACTTCCATGGTGACTGTAGAAGTTTGCACATCCACCAGCAATGGAAGTAGCTCAGCATTGTTCCACATTTTCATCAGCCTGAGTGATCACTTGTGTTATTTATCTTAGCCATTTGGACAGGTGTTAGATGAAATCTCTTAGCCGTTTTGACTTGTATTTTCCTGATGACTATGGATGTTGAATATTTCTCTAAGTGTTTTTCAGCCATTTAAGTTTCCTTTTTTGAGAATCCTTTGTTTAGATCTATACCACATTTTTAAATTGGGTTGTTTTCTTGATATCTAGTTTCTTGAATATATATGATATCAGCCCTCTGTCAGATGTGTAGTTGCTAAATATCTTTTCCCAACAGTCGTCTGCCACTTTGTCCAAATGATGGTGTCTTTTGCCATATACAAGCTTTTCTGTTTCATGAGGTCCCATTTATTAATTGTTGATCTTAGTGTCTGTGCTGACAGTATTATGTTCAGAAAGTTGTCTCTGGTGCCAATGATTTCAAGATTATTCCCCATGTTTTCTTTTATCAGATCCAGTGACTCTGTTTTTATGTTTTAGTTTTTGATCCACTTGGAGTTGAGATTTCTACATGGTGATAAGTATATGGATCTATTTGGGATCTTGTGCATGCAGATATCCAGTTTGACTAGCATCATTTGCTGAAGACACTGTCTTTTTCAGTGTGTGTTTCTGACTTCCTTATAAAAAATCAGGTGTCTATAGGTGTGTGGACTTACGTCTGGGTCTTCAATTCAATTCTACTGATCGAGGTGACTGTTTTTGTAACATTAGCATCATGTTTTTATTACTAAAGCTCTGTAATATAACTTGAAATCAGGATGGCGCTATCTCCAACAGTTCTTTTATTATTCAGGACTATTTTAGCATCCTGACTTTTTTGTGTTTCCATATGAAGCTGAAGATTATTCTTTCAAGATCTGTTGTTGTTCTGGAATTTTGATGGGGAATACATTGAATCTATAGATTGCTTTTCGTAGGATAACCATTTTATGATAATTATCCTACCAATCCATGAGCATGGGAGAACTTTCCATTTTCTAATATAGTCTTCAATTTCTTTCTTCAGTGTGCAAAGTTTTTATAATAGAAGTCTTTTGCTTGGTCAGAGTTAATGCAAGATATTTTAGGTAATTTGAGATCATTGTGAAAGCTTTTATTTTCCTGATTTTTTTCCTTAGTCCCTTTGTCATTTGTATATAGGAAGGCTACTGATTTTGTGAGTCAATTTTGTATCCAGTTATTTTGCTCAGAGTGTTTATCAGCTGTAGGAGTTTCCTGGTGGAATTTTGAGGGTCACTTATGTGTCCAATCATATCATTTGCAAATAAAGATGCTTTGATTTCTTCCTTTCCAATTTGCACTCTCTTGATCTTCACTTGTCTTACTGTTCTAGCTAAGACTTCAAGAACTATATTGAATAGTTACGGAGAGAGTGGACAGCCTTGTTTAATTCCTGATTCTACTGGAATTGCTTTGAGAGTTTTTTTTTCCTATTTAAGCTGATGTTGGCTATGGGATTCCTATAAACTACCTTTATAATGTTGAGGTATATCCCTTGTATCCCTAATCTCTCCAGGACTTTTATCATCAAGGGGTGTTGAATTTTGTTAAAGGCCTTTTCTTCATTTAATGAGATGATCATGTGTTTTATTTTCTTTCAGTTTGCTTATTAATTTATGTATGTTGAAGCATCTATACATCTCTGGGATGAAGTCTACTTGATAATGGTGGGTAATTTCATTGGTGTGTTCTTGGTTGCAGTTTTCAAATGCTTCTCTAATATTTTGTGTCTGTGTTCATAAGGGAAATTGGTTTGTAATTTACTTTCTTTGTTGGGTCTTTGTGTGACTTGAGTATCAGGGTTACTTCTGTTATTTTGTGGAATAATTTGAGGAGTAATGCCATTAACATTCCTTTGAAAGAATTCTGTGCTGGCCCTGGGGTTTTTGTTTGTTGTTTTGTTTTGTTTTTCTTTTGGTTGGGAGACTTTTAATGACTCCATCTATTTCATTAGCTGTTATAGGTCTGTTTAAATTGCTTACCTGATCGTGATTTAACATTGGTAAGTGGTATTTATTGAGAAAATTACACTTTCCTTTTAGATTTTTTTCAATTTGGTGGAGTGTGAGTTTTTAAACTATGTCCAAGGAGTC